GTGCAGGAGCCAGGGCTCCGTGAGAGGGGAGATGCCTCCACATCACCCACTGAGTTAGGCTTTCGCTTGATCTCCCTTCTGTGAACCAAGCCCATTGGGATGGCAGAGCCCGCTGAGGCCGTACCCAACCCCAGGGCACTAGCGCAGGGGAGGTGGGCGGAGGGGAGGAGTGCCTCCCTCTAGATCCCTGGTAAGGAGGGGCTTCCAGTGGCCAGCCCTCCCTCCCGGTCTCCTGCCAGTGCCTCTGAAATAAGGTGACCTCTCTGGAGTAAGGAATGACCCAAGGGGCCTAGGACGTGCCAGGCCCGGGGCAGGCTCCCCGTGAGTGTGAGGCCCCCTCACCCTGGCCCAGGGTGCCCACAGGTGAGACAGGACAGCCCATGACACAGCTTCTCCCTCCGAGGTTCTCCTGGGCTCTGGCACCCCTAAGGTGCCCTAGGAGGATTCTGGCTGCACCCCGCCTTCCTCAGGAACACTGCCCAAGCTCAGGGGCCTGGCCTCTGCAGGCCTTTACTTCTGCATCTGGATTCCTGCCAGGGGCTCCCCTGCCCAGGGGTCTCCCAGCTTGGGACTGGGCCTCGGGCTTCCCATCCCCTCACCCTTTTGTTCTTCAGCCCCCAGAGCCTGCTCAGAACCTGTGGGGTACGCACCCCACCCGTTGTTGGTGTCTGGGACCCCTGCTCTCCCATGAGGGCTTGTGCCAGGCTCTGGGGGTGTGCTAGGCTGCCTTACAGGGGTCTTCTGATGTGTGCCTGGGTTCCCAGTGCTGGCTGAGCCCAGCGCCAGGCAGAGCCGGCAGCGTGTCTGCAGGTCCCGAACTCGGCCCCTGGCACAGGTGGGCAGCTGGCCTAGACTGTGTCCTTAGCAGGCGTTGGAGCCCCTTAACCCAGGAGGTCCCTGAGATAGGCAGGCCAGGCTGTCGCCACCCAGCAGAGCTGGCTGAAGGTGGGATGGGGTTGAGATGACCCCGGGGGCAGGGGGAACCAGACGGGAGGGAAGGCCTCAGGCCTGCATCCCGCTGCGAGCCTGGCCCGTCCCAGCCCCGGCCCCTGGGAGCTGGCTGACCCCGGCCCTGCATGTTTGGAATGGCTGGGGCTCTAGTCACTGCGTGGCCTGCAGGGCCCTGCTGAGAGCCAAGCGCCTGCAGTGTTTTCTGTCTCCCTGCAAGGCCGGCCTCCCCCGAAACCGAGCAGGGCTCGCAGGGCGGCCGCTGGCCATGTGCGAGCAGAGCCAAAAGGAAATCAAGATGTTACCTCGGGGAAGAAGGTGCTGCTGGCTGGCGGCGGGAGGGCGGTGCGCCGAGTTGATGGCGGGGTGAGCCCAGAACCCGCACGGACCTACGCATCGGCTCTGTAAACCCTGCGCTGGCAGGGGGCCTGGCCAAGGGCGCCGGGCCTGCGCTCCGGGAGCGTCGCCAGGCCGGTGTGTGTGACATGTTCTGGGAGACCGTCCTGGAGCAGGAGCCGTGTGCTCACTCGTTCGCTCTGCCGGGCAGCAGAGGCCGGAGCGACAGTGTCTCCCAGGCCAGGCTGCTGCTCCCCACCAGGGCGTGGCTCAGCCGGGTGCCAGCTGCCCCCAGGCCAGAGACAGGTTCAGTCTTGTGGGTCACAGAAGGGGGATCCTGGGGAGAAAAGTCAGGTCCACTGCAAAGCTCGTCCTGGCCTCCCAGCTTTCCACGTTGGCCCCTCTGGGGAAGCCGCTCTAGGGCCAGACTCTGGGTCAGTGAGCCCCTTGGATGAGACTCCGAACCTCAGTCTCTTCTTCTGGAAAGTGGAACTAATAACGTTCTTGCCTCAGGGCCCTTAGGGGACTCAAGGGAAAGCCCGAGGCCCACGGCCCAGCGCCTGTAGCAGGCTCCCAGCCCCGGGCCAGCACAGGATGCAGGGCGGGGCTGCATCCTGAGGGGGACCCACTCCCCGCCTGGGCCTTGGGGTACTGCTCTCACCTCCACCCTCACTGTATTCTCTTGACCGAGGTCCACAGGGACCAGGCCCAGGGGTTGGGGGCTACGTCCAGGCCTGAGGGTGAGGGAGACACTAGGACCCTAATCAGGCCCAGGAAGGGAGACCTACATCCAGCCCACAAGGGGGAACGGGGCCTCCATCAGGCTAGGGGACCCTGACAGGTTCTGGTGCCTCCCCAAGGTCCCCTGTCCCCTCCCCTCCCTTCCCCAGTCTGCAATGGGACCCTCTGTCCTGTGAAAGCCCGTCTGTGAGATGGGCCCGTCCTCACACCGACTGGGTGGTTTGGCCTGCGGACAACGCTGCCATTGGAGTGGGTGGGGGATGGATTTCCAGTCCCCTCCGAGGGAGAAACGCTGTCGTCTGGAGAAAGTCAGGGGCCTCTCTCCACGCGGGAGGCTCAGGCTTGGGGGGGACTCCCTGTCCAGGCCTGCCTTCCCACACCAGGGGTGGGACTCTGCGAGACCCTGCTGACCACCTCCTTCCGGGAGATAAGGGGGGGCTAGAGGAAGCTGGCGGCTGGACTGGGGGGGGCATCCCCCAGCGAAGGCCTTCTCAGCCCAGCTCGAGGGGGCTCGGGGCCTTGAGGCAGCAGTGCTGTCCCCGGACCCCAGCCCACGGCCCGGCTTTGACAACTGCTCTGAGCCTCTGGGCGCACTGCCCCTGTCCTGGGACCTCCCTTTCCAGAGCGAGAGACCCTGTCTGAGGTGTGTGAGCTCAGGGTCGCAGGAGCAGGCGGCCTCTCGCTGCCCCCGGCCTGCCCCGCCTGCCTCCACTGCCGTGGCCCCCGTCTCCCCAGTCCTGTCCCCCTCCGGGAAAGCAGCCCAGCCGGGAGGGAGACTGACAGGGCTCCTCTCACACCCCCTCTGCCTGGCCGCGAGGAGGGAGCCGCCAGGGTCTCACCGTCCCCAGGGGGAAGCAAGAATGTGGGAAGTGATAGGTCCTGATAAGGACGCCTCGGGGCTCCCCTGGGTCAGGAGGGCCGAGGGCTGACCCCGGCCAGCTGTGCTGTCCTGCAACGCGGGGCTGGGGCTGGCGGGAGGGGCCGGGGAGCTGCTAGGGGCCTCCTCCGACGGAGGCTGGAGGGCTGGCAGGGCAGGCTGGTCAAGGGCCCGTGGAGCCCAGCGTGAACTCGGGCCTCTCGGGGGCAAACCCCGCCTTGTTCCTAAGAGGGTCAGACTCTGGGCCTCCCCAGGCCAGATCCTCTGGCTGGCTGTCCCCCACAGTCCGTCCAGGCAGGACAGCGACTTTTCCGACGCTGCGTCTGCGGCAAGGGCCCCCCGTCGGAGGCGCTGAGCGGAGAGCCTCCGTTTCCTGCCTCAGGCGGAGCGTCCCTCTGGTGAGCGGGTCCTGGCAGGTGCATCCTTGGT